TTTGCACCAATCAGAGCTGGTTTGTTTGTTTGTTTTCAAGTCCCAAACTATGCAACTCCCCTGCAGCACCATTAAAGCCATTTGGATTAGGCAGAAAGGCACGTAGGAGACACAGCAAGCATGGGAGAAAAGGCCCCTCTGGTCTCATGAGATCAAACTGGATCGTCTTGGTTTTGCTGGAGACACTGTGTATGGCTCAAGGCCCACAGTGTTCATCCGCATCGTGAAGAATAGTGGTGGATCAGGTTGTGGGGATGCTTTTCCTTGGCAGAGACTGAGAAAGTGCTCGGGATTGAGGGCAAGTGGAGAGAACCAGATTCAGGACAACACTAGAGGAAAACCTGCTTCAGTCCATAAGAGACTTGGGACTGGGGACACTAACCCTAAACGCATTGCCAAACTAACAGCAGGGTAGTTTAAAAACAACCTGACAGTCTCAGAACGGCCAAGTCAAAGCCCAGAGCTCAATCCAAATGAAGATCTGTTGCAAGACCTGAAAGTTGCCAGTTACCAGGCGTCCTCTTCCAACTGACAGGGCTCGAGAGTCTTGCCAGCAAGAATGGACAAACAGCATGGGGAGGCCGGTAGACTTCCCCAAGAAGACCTGCAGCAGTTTTTGCTGGCAAAGGCGCCTCTACCAAATAGTAACTAGGCGGATAAGTGCTTATACAACCAAGCGCCAGTTTGTTTTTGTTTACTTTAGTGCCACAAGAAAAATATGTTTGATATTCACACTGTTGGGTATCTTGTATACATCAAGTGGTAACGATGTCAATTCAATCCATTTCAGTTCCAGGCTCTATCACAAAAACATGTGGAAATGTCAAGCAAGGAGAATACTTTTACAAGGCTCTGTATCACTCATGCTCCCTTGTAAAAATAAGCTTTTGGTAATTTGCAATGTCTTACCATGGGAGTGCCTTATTATCCCTCCTGTTCTAATTGCAGCATATATTTTGCTGCTACATATTACTCACTTTTACCTGTATCCAGATTTGGAGGTTGCCTGGCGGGGACACTTTAGTTTATGCAAAATTAACAGCCCCTTTTCCATGTATAGTTTTCCATCTCTAGTTTTGGGTCTGAAGTGCACTTACTGGAAAGCACGATCTGTTACATTCAGTGTAACCTACTCCCAGGCAAATCTGTTTAGGGGAAGGTTGTGTTGGTAGAGAGTTTGTCTCAAGAGCAAGGTTCTCTTGAGAAAACCTGAATGTGTTTATTTGCTTGTTCAGTGAGCTTCCTACCTTTTCCACAAAGAGCAATCAGGGTGAATTCACAGCAAAATTAAAAGTATATGAAATGATAATTGAAGTATGAACATGTCAATACAAGAATCAATAAAATCAATGAAAAGTCAGTTGAGGAAACTGTGACATTTACTGTGAGCTGAAGCATCTGGAAGGCTTGTCCAGCTCTGCCTCAGCTATATCTGGCTTACATGACTTCTCTGTCTTTTAAGTGTGGGCGCTCTAAATACCACTGAAATGATATACCTGGTAGGGGTTACTTCAGTCAGGTTTGTGACCACATTCTCTGTCTTCTGGGGAATATGTAGCATCCCTGCCGGATCCACCAGACCGTCATCCAGCCTGATTCCAGGCCCGGTTCAAAGTGCTGCTGATCACCCTTTCAAGCTACATATGGCCTAGAGCCAGATTATTGGAAGGATACATTTGCTCCCATGGTCCTACCCATCTGTGTAGCTCATTAAGGGAGGTCCTTTTAATTAGCTCACAATTCAGATGATGGTTAGGATGAGGGTTTCTGCATGGCAGGCTAAGGCTGATAGGAGTTGTAGGATTTGGTTCTGCCTAAACAAGCCTGAGGTTGCACCGTTAGTTCATTTGCTAGACCCTTGCCTAGCTCAGGCATGGTTGTGCTGGCTGGGGCTGATGGGAGTTGCAGTCCCAACCAATCTGGAAGACTGCAAGTCAGTGATCTATAGCTTAGGTCAGTGCTGGTGAACCTATGGCATGTGTGCCACAGTGGGCATGCAGAGCTCTCTCTGTGGGCACGTAAGCCAAGTCGCCCCAGCATCGCCCCAGCAGCCGAGCATCAGAAATCAGCGCACATAGTGGCCATGCGCATGCTTGGAAAGGAGTAGTGGTGACAGGCAAGGACGTCACGAGCCATGGCTCATTAGCTGCGACTCGTCCCAGCTTTCGCATGGCAGGTCAGTGCGCTGCCTTTGCTTGGACTGTCTGTGAGGTGTTTTTTCTCAGTTTTCAAGTTTTATTGCACTAGTGACACTTTGCGATAAATAAGTGGGCTTTGGGTTGCAGTTTGGGCACCCAGTCTCTAAAAGGTTCACCATTATTGGGTTGGAGTTACAAAATTGAGGTGTCCTGGCATGATTTTGATGGTTGGAATGTGTTTAGCACGGGCCGAATTGATGAACTCTGCAGAAAAAGCTACTCAAGGCTTTTTCAACATTGCCCTCTTTTCAATGAAACTTTAGCCCTATGTTAGGGTTGGGGGGGTGCACCAGGGTAGGGTTAGGGTTAGAAAAATGAGGTATCCTGGCATGATTTTGATGGTTGGAATGTGTTTAGAATGGGCAGAAATGTTGAGCTGTGCAGAAAAAACTACTCAAGGAAGGCTTTTTCAAAATCCCCCCTTTCAGTGGTATTTTAGCCCTATGTTAGGGTTGGGGGTTGCACCAGGGTAGGGGTAGGGTTAGAAAAATGAGGTGTCCTGGCATGATTTTGATGGTTGGAATGTGTTTAGAATGGGAAGAAATGTTGAGCTGTGCAGAAAAAACTACTCAAGGAAGGCTTTTTCAAAACCACCCTCTTGTCAGTGGAACTTTAGCCCTGTATTAGGGTTGGGGGAGTGCTCCAGGTTAGGGTTAGGGTTAGATAATGAGGTGTCCTGGCATGATTTTGATGGTAGGAATGTGTTCAGAATGGGCAGAATTGATGAACTGTGGAGAAAAAGCTACCTAAGGAAAGTTTTTTTCAAAACCACCCTCTTTTCAATGGAACTTTAGCCATACATTAGGGTTAGGGGAGTGCACTAGGGTAGTGTTAGGACAGTGGTGGTGAACTTATGGCACGCGTGCCACAGCGGGCACACAAAGCCCTCTCTGTTGGCATGTGAGCCAAGTCGTTCCCACATCACCCTAGCAGCCAGGCATCGGATAACAGTGCACATAGGGGCCATGTGCATGCTCAGAAAGGAGTAGCGGTGACAGGCGAAGAATTCACGAGCTAGGACTCATTAGCTGTGACTCGTCTTTGCTTTCGCATGGCTGGTCAGTGTGCTGCCAAGAGTTTATGTATATTGGACTGGCTTTAGGTGTTTTATCTCAACTAAAACCTTAGTTTTCAGGTTTTATTGCAGTGTTGGCACTTTGTGATAAATAAGTGGTTTTTGGGTTGCATTTTGGGCACTTTGTCTCTAAAAGATTTGCTATCACTGGCTTAGGTGCTTGGTGTATGCTTTATTTTCTCTCTCATATTTTATTTTTGTGGATGGGCTTTTTCCCCTCAACTTAATTGCCATGCATGGGGAGATTTTCAAAGTGTTTTGCAACTATAGAGTGATGGATTTACACTCCCTTCCTACAACACCACCACTACCACAAACGTTTACTTATATGACAATTAAGCTGAGAAAAAACCTTTTTAGCTTTTTTGGAATGATCTGGGGGGAGCGCAAATTAACTGAGGCATATATTTTTTTTGAGATTATTTGGATGCTAAAGTAGTTTTACTGGCTTTTCCGTGTGTAATACTTAAGTGAATCCTAATAATTAGGTCTAAATTTACATGCAGGGGTAAAAGTACCACATGCAGATGTGTGTCCTGTGAGCTTGGGTCCCGTCTCTTTTAAGTGTCTTACAACACCCTTGATTAGAGGAATGGGGGACTAGAAATGCTTAGCCGTTAATCTCCGACCACAGAGATAGTCGTGGTGAAAAGAATGTTGACACAGTGACTAATTATAGAGAGAGGAGTAGAAAAATTGAATCGGAGGGACACTTAGCCCGTGAGGTTTGCCTCGGGCTGTGAAGAAAATAGAGCAAGGTTAATAGTAACCATGGCAGTGGCCGTGGTGTGTGTGGGTGCGTGACATTTGGAGTGTCAAAGGAGGGCACCTCAGGCTGTTTGCTCCCTGTACCCACGCCAAAAATAACACTTATTTGCTACAAGCAACTATACTAATATAAGGGAAAGTGCTCTGCGTCTTTTCCTGCTTGTGCGGGCCTGGATGCTTCAGTTTACTTTCTCAGGCATAAGGATGAGTTTAACAGAGTCAGGAGTGCCGACCCTGAGCCAGGCTTGGCACTCGGGGAGCCCTTCTGAGCAGCCTGTCAAGCTGGCTGAGCCTGGCTGTTGTCCAAGGCAGATCCTCAGGTATGCTAAGATGCAGCTGGAGGAAAGAGAGCCAACTCTGCTCCGGCTGGGGAAGCATGTTTCTGCGGCACAGGAACCTTTCAGTGAGGGACTGGAAGCCCTCAGCCCTGACGGTGAAGGCCTCTCAGCCAGCAGTCTGCTCCATGCATGTGGGGCCTCTAAGCCGTAAACCTCTGGCCCAAAAGCTTGTCACTACATCTCGATTCTCCTTGCCAAAATCGACTGATTTCCATCTTCCATATTCTACCCTCATTATTACTGTTAAGTAGAAGTATGCAGAGGTTTGTGGTTTTGTTTTTTGTTATCTAGATATGTATTAATTTTGCAAAGCAAGAATGCATTTTCCAGTGACTGATCCCTCCATAGCCAATTCATTCTTCCTTGAGTGATTCCAGCCGATCAAGGATCCTGCATCAGTCATAATCATGCTAATGCGAAAACAAATCTTATTTTTCCTTTTCTTTGAAGCAGAATTGCTATGGTCTATTGCTGAGCTGTGGGAGAGAGATCAAAAGTAAATAATTTAATTTTTTCCCATTCAAAAATTAGCAGCCAAACCTTTTCATAAGAGTCTAATCTACTGAAATGCAGAATATGTGATAATTATCTTTTTTCTTAAAATTTCTTTTCTATATATAGCTTTGCAATGGGGGATCTGTGACTGACCTTGTCAAAGGGTTTTTGAAGAGAGGCGAAAGAATGAGTGAAGTTCTTATCGCTTATATTTTACATGAAGCCCTTAAGGTAAGTTAGCATTTATAAATAGTTCTGTCTCTCTGTTTGGGTACAGAGTTACGTTTGCTAAAATAATCAGTTGATTTCAAGGAGATTAAGGTCTCTCACCTCTGGGCTGGATTGCGGATTGTGGTCTTTTGTCTGAATTTGGCCACTGACAATACATGAATGGAAACTGCACAAACAGTTTTTCAACCCAAGCCAGCTGCCAGGGCAGAGCAGCCACTGTCCTGGTTCTGTGCTCTGAAAATCGCTATTTATCGGTATGAATTTCAGCTTCTTAGGATAGCAAGCAGGTGGCTGGATTTTCCTCTTCCAGCTGGACTGCTTCATACTGATATTCAGAATCTTTAACAAAGCGACATGCCTGCAGCCTCAGAGCAGGTACATTCTATTACTTAGAGGAGGCAATGTTACAAAGTTGCATAGCATTTTGTATACACTTAAGCATGCACTTCTTGCATTTGAACACAACTTTCATTTAAATAAATGCATGTGTCAACATTTGCCAATATATGTCAGTGCAAAGCCTTTGTAATAAAAAAGCAAACTACAGACTGGACATGTTTAGCCATTGCGATCTTACATATTTGCCTATAACGCACTGTGTTTGGAGTGCAGTGCAGTCCTACGCCTATCTGCTCAGGTGGAAGTCCCCCTGAGTCCAATGGGGCTGACTCACAGGCAAACTGGTATAGGACGGCAGACTTTAGTGGTACAACTACATTCCCATTCTTCTATCCACATATGACCATTCTTAGGATTGGCCTTAAAAGTATGTGAGTTCCACTGACTTGGCAAAGGTATTCTGGGTTTAATTCATTAAAGATGTATATACTTTTGTCCAGAAATTAATGATAAGGCTAATTTACACAATACTAATATGGTGAATTATTAGCACCAATGTATCCCTGAATTAGATTTTAAAAATATATTACTTATACTCAGGGCACCTGGTGACACCTGTGTTGATGGAGCTTCCTTATCCACTGCAGCTTCTGAGCTATTCATGGTGCTGAACTCACTCCCCAAAATAGATTCACCCCTGAGGAGCACCATAAATATCTCATATAAAGCTCAGAATAAAAGCTGCAATGGATGAGGAAGCCCTGCAGAAGTAGGAGTTACCTGTCTTGCCCGATCAGACTCTGCTCTGGCAGTGCACAGATTTGTTTGTGATTTCTTCCTTTTTGGTTGTGCAGATTAAGGAGTTTTATAACTGTAAACTTTCTTTTCAGGGACTTCAGCACTTGCATGAAAACAAAACCATCCATCGTGATATCAAGGGAAATAATATCCTGTTGACCACTGAGGGAGGTGTTAAACTTGTGGATTTTGGTAAGTTATGCTATCTTTTTTTTCTCGTTCTGATAAGTTTTATTTGAAATTATAATCCTAAAAACAAAGAAAAACTAAAAACAACATCAATCATCAAAAACATCGGGCCTGCTGGGTCAGCCCCCACATTTTTTTCCATTTATGATAACTTAAAAACATATTTAAATCTATACGAAGTCCTGTTTCTCTAGCCAATAATAAAAAGAGTCCCAAGTTTGATAGAAGTCAGTATCTTCTTTCTCCTTCAATGATAAAGTCAATCTATCCATTTCTGCACAATCCAAGATCTTTTTTAGAATCAGTTCGTCAGTGGGTAGTTCTTCATTTTTCCACTGTTGAGCAAATGCAATCCTCGCTGCAGTAATTACATGTAAAATCAAATACATTTCTTGTTTACTAATGTCCACAGGTATAACGCCTAATAAGAAGACTTCAGGTTTAAAAGCTAAAGGTTTTTGTAACATTTCCTCAAGCCATTTATGTATTTTAATCCAATACTTTTTCGCATTATCGCAAGTCCACCACATATGATAAAAAGTACCCAATTTATGTTTACACTTCCAAAGTTATGCTATCCTTATGGCCTAAAGGAATCATGCATGCACACATGCACACACATATATAATGTGGGGGGAGGTTTACAGGTCACAACAAGGAAGTTTGCATCGTTTCTGATGTAGTTCTCATGTCTTTGCCTCAACCTACTGATCATGCAGTCATGTAGTTTCCTTGTAAATGCAATGTCCACGCTTGCCTTCCATCTCCCGATCTCATGACACATCCCAGAAAAATCATCTTCCGTTCTGTACTGTTCTCTGCCAACATCAGATGCCTTTTCCTGATTGGTCCACACCAGAGGTTTTGAGGTGGATTCTCCTTCTTTCCCTTCCTGATTGGACTGCATCTCTATAATGTTTCCTAGCACCCCCTGTGTGTGTGTCTGTGTGTGCGTGTGTGCGTGTACATTAAAATAAACACCATAGCTACATTACCTCCCTTCTCTTTCTGTGCATGTACCAATAGTGCATTTACCAATAGGAACTGAGTGTTCACATGTGTTTCTAGGAATCTCCTGGTTATGGCACTGTTGGACAAGGAGTTGGAAGATCTGGGTTCTAGACTCCACTCAGTCATGAAGCAGATTGGGTGACTTTGATCTACCACTTAGAATGTTTGGACTGTGAAGACCCAATTTTAAGTCAAGCTTTAAGAGGCGGATACTTTTGGTACTCATAAAACAATGGATGGTGAAAGCGAGTAGAGCGTTGTGGTTAGAATGTTGGACTGGGACTCTGGAGATCCAGATTCTGGTCCCCATTCAGGCATGAAACTCATTGGGTGTCCTGGGATCCATGGTGGAAGATTAGGGATATATGTGTAATGACAAATGACAAACTCCATTACTGCTAAATATAATTCTTCAATGTAAGACACTAGTCAAGGGTAGGAGACAGACATCTGGATTATTTTGAATTCCAGGGGCAGTCCAGGTTTGTTGGGGAAGCCCAGGTCTTGAAAATCTCTTGCCTCTCAGGATATTGTGCCTGCTCAAGCGGTCTTGATGTTAACAAGGCTGGCCATATCACTCAGATTTAATTAGGTCAAGTTCCATGCGATAGTGTCCCATTCATAATAGCAAAAGAACACCTCATTCAACTGTTAAATAAATCAGGAATGTGGAATGAATTGGATCGGTCAGGAGGACACCAGTTGACCATGAATTCATTGAATGACAGTGCAAATATTCATTTAAAATCTCCTTTAAGGGCACGAAGCTTGACAACCTAAAAATGAACTGGGCTGGTTTGTGAATTGTACAGACATTGACTTCAATGAAATTTACCCTGGAGAACATCAGATTTTTGTTACATACACAGTGCTTTTAGTAAATATGGTTCTTTACATTCTAAGTTAGGGGCTGGATTTGGGGCTGTGGTGCATGTACATGGCACAAAGGCATTTATATTTCCTTGGCTGATGGAAACAAGATTTGAATTGGGGCACTGCCTTGTCAGCCTTCATGACAAGCCTGTGAGTTAGTTCAATGTGGATGCTTTAAACTGGAGAACTAAAGCTGAAAAACCAGGACTTATCTTTGGATACACCAAGGCCAGCTAGGTTCATTTTCCATTATTGGTACAGTACCTGAAAAGATTTTCCTAAAAACCCCATAGTGCACATGTGGCCCCAGGTGCTTCCCTTTCACGAGATTGTGCCAGTACGGAATTTGACGTACAGCAACTCTGTGGCTAGATTGGATGGGAACTCAAATCTCCCAGGTTCTTAAGGCCTAAGTGTTGTCTAAGTTCAGAAGTTTGCTCTACTGGGCTTTGCCAAAATCTGCTGGCAGTGTGCATGTGCGCACTGCCAGTTTACATCACATGTTACAGCTGCTGTTTATAGATGAGTTAATTGGCCATTGATAATAGAATTAGCTTTTCTTCTTTTGGTAGTGTGTGTACCTTTGAATTTCAGAACATAATATTCTCTTGTCCTGCTAAGCCAATTTATTTTGCACTGCAAAGCGAATGCTCTGGATGGTACGCTTCTTTAATAACCTGCCCATTTCGTGTATTTCTTTCTGAGCAACAGTGTTTTTCTGGCAGTCATTCCAGACACTTTCAAATTGTAACTCTTGTGCTAGACAATGCCACTGTTATAGCTCTGCTTTGCCGTGCCCTCTCAGACACACACTTTCAGGCCTGTGCTAACCCCGTGTTCAGAGCCTTCTGTGCTATGATATTTATTCTCTTTCAGACACTAGTGAAGTGGCAAGCTTGGTAAGCATCTCCCAGGCTGCAAATATGCCAAGCTCTCCATGACAGGCTAGTAAGATCCCAACAGAGAGATCAGGGTGTACCTCCTCTCTGCATCCCCTATGGAACAACCAGCCCCAAAGGGATATCGCATCATGTAAACCTCATAATACACCTGTGACACCAAGCTCACCCATCCCATAGTAGCCCTTCCCAACTTGGTTCCCTCCAAATGTTTTAGACTACAGCACCAGCTGAAATGCCAATATTTGGAGACCTGCAGGCTGAAGTGTTTGGTGGCAACCAGGTTGGAGAAGGCTGCTATGGGATAACCAAAGGTGCCACAAGTATGTTATGGGGATTTACATGATGTGATCCCTTTCCCCACCTATAGACAAAAGTTGGATTCTCTATATTCATTGCAATAGCACCCAGTTTTCATGAACACTGTGCATTTTTTTAAATTTTGTAATCAGATTGTATGTCTCAAAACATGGGTGTATTTCCCCTCAAGTCTGGGCCTTGGGTTCATTTAACTTGTTAAATTCTGCTCATGTTCACAATTCATCTACTGTGATGTTGTTTAACCTTGACTTATTTAATGCAGCATATGTGGCACACAGATAGCACCATTCACAAAGAATTAGGTTTGCCTTTCTTCATTAACTTAATGCAACTTCGTTAATTTTATTTTGTATTATGCACATAGTGCTTTAGGTCTGCAAGATAAAGAAAATGGGTAATATATGCATGCCAAAGACATAAGAAATTGCTAATTAATTTGAAAGAATAAACTATAAGTGGAGGAGTTTCTGAGGTGACTGAACTTTAAATATGAAGTTGACAGTTATGAACATGGGTTTGCAATGTTTATGTTAATATGGGGTAATTAAAATACAAAGTTGATGTTATAAAGGGCATATGATACAAAGCATAATACTGCCAGAGAACTTTCGACTGCAGTACATTTTCTTAAAATCAATAAGAATGTCTAAATATTAGACACTGGGACCAATACCTAAACTATATTTGTTCAAGTGACTTCATCATCTGTTTAGTCTATGACATATTTCTGTTTTGACCAATTGCTCTGAAATTCTGAAATTGAAATTCTCAATTCTTGAGCCTCAACTGTTCTGGAGGGTCTCCCATCCCACAGGGCCAACTTTTTAAGAGGGCATGGGAGCTGCTACAGATGGGGGATCAGCAAAAATCAGGGGTTGTACTTTCTGTGAACCGATGTGGTTTCTGCCAGCACAGAGCCACCCATGGGCACAGGCAGAAGCAGTATGACAGAACATAAGCAACACCTCCCCGTACCCCCCCCAAAAAAAAAAACAAAACAAAACAAAAAAACAAACTCTGCTGGATCAGAAGAAAGGACTGTCTAGTCCTCCAGAGTTGGTAAGCATGGCTAAGAAGTTAGTGAAATAGGACTTCAGTTTGTAGAAGCCATATTGATACTTCCTTATAGACTTGGCCTTCTATGTGCTTGATAATTTTATCTTTAGTTACACTTTCTGCTATTTTACCTTGAATGGACCTAGCCAATTGCCTGTAATTTCCTGGACTCTTCCTGGAATCCTTTTTAAAAACTGGTATTACATGGGTGAGAAAAAGAAGTGAACATAAATTTTGAATAGTATATGTCTGAGCATAGCTCAGCCCAGGAAGTTTTTAATACCAGAACTGAGCTTATGGGCCTTTCACACAAAAATCCATTCTTGGTCTCCCCCGATTTTTTATTTCAGCAGCCCAATTTTATTGGGGGTGGGGGTATTGTTAACAGCTGGCATTCAGAAATCCTTGAAGATCTACAGCAAATTACCCAGGGATCTCCCAGTGGATCTGGAGCTATCTTCTGCCCACCCTAGAGCAAAAGAGCAGGATGAATCAACAGAACAGGAATGGACAGCTTTGCTTGTTGTGTCAAGCAGCTTGACTAACCCAGGGGCTAAAATTCCACTGTGAGTCATGGCTGAGAAACAGAGGGGGAGATAATTGGCTTTTTATTTAGAATATTTGACATTGGCATGACACAAGCACTGAATGCCACTCACTCCACTGAACTGAAATAATTCGTTTAAACAGCTTGTGGACCTCTGTGTGAGTGGGTGCAACGGACCTGTGCGTATGGGTCAGATTAGTGCCAAGTTAATATTAGGTAGGAGAGTAGAGAGAAGTGGGCTCTTTGCTTTGTGCTTTAGCTCTCCATACAGCACACACACACACAGGCAGCATCACTAAATTCCAGCCGGTTCTTTTCTTGTGGGTCTCCAACACTGGGAAAAGCGGTCCCTAGAGGTGAACTGGCTAGAAGGGAAATAGAGGCAGGAGAGAGTTCGACTTCCCCCTCTTCCCTATCCATCTGCTTTAATTTGCACCCACAGCATCTCTACTGAGTACCTGTGAAACATTCGCTTTCCCTGTTGTCCAGACTTAGTTGAAATTGTTCATTTGATCCATTTTTCCACTTGTCCTGAACCTGCTGGCAAATATTTAAAAGAAGAGCAGAGATCATTGAAGAGTATTTGGCTCCTTTGCTTTTCCACGTAGGCAAACAGTTGTACTGAAACCTTCCATCATTTTCATAATGGCCCCATCATTAGAATGGCCCCATGTGTCATGTTTGGATATCATGAATGGGCAAGCAGAACTGTAGCCTCTTAGAAAGAACGTACAGCATCACTTTTTAGACTCGAATGGGTGGAGAGGTTTAAGAGCTAGTTTTCTGAGGCGCGTTTGTTGGGATATCGCCTCAGGAAGTAAGTAAGTGAGCGGTGAAAAAGCACAGGGTTCTGATGAGGACGGTGATGCAGAACCGGTCATTCACAAAGAGAGCAGTAGGGATAATGACATCTTGCCTGCAATCCCTTTGCAGAATATCCCCACCCCCACCCCCACCCCCTGTATACAAGAACGGCTGCACAGATGCTTTCTGGACTGAAAGAGAAGGACAAGGTTAATAATGTTAATAATCCATTCACTGCTGACAACAGACAGAAAAGTGGAGGTTTGGGGAGAGTGCTGTGTGTTTGCAGTGTGCCACAATTCGGCCGTATGATCAGGCGCATGCCAAATGTACAATGTCATCACACAACTTGCACTACATATGGGGACAGTATTCTTGCTGTTGCCTTGCTCACTCATTACACACACAGTCCTGTAAAATGACTGTCCACCTAGTGCACAACTTTGCACTGCAAATGGGTGGTCTCATTTTTGTGGTTGCCTTATTTACACATGGCCTGTAGCCATGCAGGATCACACTGTGGGAAAGTAGGATTCTGCTTGGCTCTTGTAATCTTGAATAACTGGGCGAAGCTGTGTCTGTCTGGATGTGCGAGGAATGTTTTATCTACGAAAGATACACTCTGTAGTTTCACTCCATATGGCTCTGTGCTCTCGCTATCTCTCCCCTCCATTACACACGCTATATATATATCCTCCAAAAATAATTCTCGCACACTGCCATTATTAGAAAACTTGCAAATCGGTCTGGTTTCATGTTTGACTGGTTGATGAGCTGCAAAAAGAGAGAATTGCCAAGTGTCATGGCATCAGGAACCTTTTGTAAGATGCAAAAGCCTAAGGAAATGTTCTACCAACAATGAAGACTGAAATGCCAACTTGCTGCCAAGAGTAAAAGGATAATAAAGATGATGATAATGATACATTTTAAAAAATAGGCCATACAAAAAACGTGCTATGATTAAAATTTGCCTTTAGTTGACTCCAGGCAGGGTCCTTAAAGGTTCTCATTCCTTTTGGCAGCTTAGATTAAAGTGGGGTGTGATTTCAACTGTACATCTGCTGAAAATTAATGCTAGTTTTATGTTTGACCTTTTCTCTGTGAAATATTTTATGGTAATGAAATCAGACAATGTAGCATGATAAGAGTTCAGTCACTGCCATTTCATTAGCATGATAGTCCAAGTCCTTTTGCCCAGCCTAAGCAAGTGAAGTGAATTCAGCAGCAGCATCTATAGGTTGCAGCCAAGTATGGAAAGTTCTTCTCTCCAAATCATACATATGTCATTCCCGTGTGTGGAAAAGATAGAATAATTTCTTTGCCTTCCAATATTGGCACAAGGCTGCATTTTCTGTCGTGGTGCCCCTCTCTGAGACATTTTCTTGACCATCTTCACACAAAGCAGTAGGGAAACATTTTGAGGAATTGTGACTTATCTTTTCTGACAGCCCACTCGCTCATGCCACCCAGCCGCTCCCAGCCGCTCCCACTCCTCTCCTCCCACCAGCAAGAAGAGTCTCCATTAGGTTCAAATGAGCCCTGTCGGAATCCATCCCTCTAAGCATCTGCGGGCTTCCTCGTAGGCCAGTCTTCCAAAGCAAGCTGAGCGGAGAGGGAGGCCGTGAATGCTCACAGAGCCCCATTTGCACAACCAAACCTTCTTTTGTGTCAGCAGCCACCCAAAAGGCAGCAAGACCTGGCATAGAAGAGGAAAGCTACTGCTTCAGCAGTGGACGGGTGGGGCTGCCTTCCGGGAGAGACCCGCACAACCGAGTGCCCTGTGGCCAGCCGTCTTTGGTGTCAGGAGCAGCCGCCATTTCTCCATCCATCCATTTATGCACATATTTATATGCTGCCTATAACTGCCAAAAGGCCTTCCTGGGCGACTTACAGAAACATATTAAACAACACATTAATATGTGTTTATTTAAAACCATTTAATAGGTTTTAAATAACAGCATATTTAAAACATATCAAAACAATTAAAAGATTAAAACATCAATATAACAATAATATAAAAAGGCCACCAGCATTCACAGGGCTAAGTATTATTATTATTATTTAAAAGGTATGTCTTCACCTGGCCAAGAAGAAAATAAATTTGCGGGCCTTCTCCCCACATACAAGGGAGGTGCTGCCTGCACTGCATGTGCAGCTTGATTCCTTGTGAGCACCCCATGAACACTCGGCGCACTCAGCAGGAGCTTGGACTCTGGGCTGTGGGGCTGCGCCCAGGGAATTCAGTGGATTCCCAGCCCTGTACTGATTCCTCATACCTGGCTAGTTTCAGTAACTCAGGACCTCACTGGGAAAATGAGGGTCAAGAGCAACGCTGTGTTGGAACATAATTGTGAGAATAAGAAATGGAATTCAAGAAGCATAAAGGTAGCATTCCTGGCCTAGGCTCCAGTGCTGCTTGGGATGGCCCGGTGGTCTGCACTAGACAACGCAACAGAATAAGAATTTCCTGCAACTCAAAGCTTTGCAAAGCACTGACATGGGTGGCGTTGCAGGGTTTAGTATTTCTGTGAATGCACTTTCTGTGACGTACACGTTTAGATATACCTCAACCAGTCACCTCGCTAGCAGAAAAGTAGAATGTCACACTATAACAGTTACTCATGTTCAGGACATACATCTCACATGCTTTTTAATATGCCATTTATTTATTTAAAAGTGTTTGAATCTCGTCCTTTACTGTATCTCAGGAAGAAGGATGAATCTGATTCAAGTACTTTCTGAGGCTGAAATGAATAAACACATCATAAAGCTATTATTTTTTTTTAAACAATGCCTTTAAAAAGAGTAGTACTGATGTGTTTCTTTAAAGAAAGTACCTTTAAATAAAAGGGTATTTTGAATCTCTCAAATGCTCTTTGTGGCTTCCTTCTGCTGCTAAGAAAAGGATACAAGAATACTGTAATCATCCATCCAAACAATGTGCAGTTCGGCTGCCTGTAAAAACCTTCATTTGGAACTAAATTCAAGCCCCTTTCAAGCCACTGGAGTGGAGGAAGTGCGGAATGTGCAAGGGGGGTATTTACCAGCTTACATGGCAAGGCCGTGCTGCTGGACGCAAAGTCCTAAACATGCTGCTGGGCTTCTGAACAAGTAACGCTGTGTTGGGAGATGAGTATGGGAATAATAAGAGCGGATATCGCCTGGATGGAATTCCTGAAGCATAGCCATTGCTCTGGTGCTAATGTGCCTCTTTCCATTAGGTGTATCGGCTCAGTTGACCAGCAGTCGTCTCCGTCGGAATACCTCAGTAGGGACTCCGTTTTGGATGGCTCCTGAGGTTAGATGGCATTTTATTCATTCTTAGCTTGGGGTCTTCTTGGCTGTTTGTGCTTCTCTGCTGCTCTTTCGGCTTATCACTTTTATGTTCCTGTTCATGTTTCTAGTTCTGTTTATGGCCTTTGTAGAAAAAGCCTTTACATTTTGATCAGTGCTACATTATTAAAATAAAATATGGTCAGGATGGTATTTGGCTACTACTCATAATAAAATAACTACCTTGCACTGAAGGGACTTTCTTCCTCTACATGAAATGTCAGTGGTTCTGTGCTTTGTAACCTGAATGTTTATAAGCACAACAGCAAGATTCGGTGTTTTTAGGTCTGTCAGAGAAAATTGTCGTAATACTGTCAGCTATCAAATTCATGGCACATATTTAATACTACATTTATCTCTTCAGATCATAATTGTGCATGCCATCTTTCCCATGTAAATTTCCCTTGAAAAGATATAAACAAATCTGTTCAGTGTCCTTATGAAAACTGCTAAACCAAACATGTGATTAAACATCTCACAGGATTTTATGAAAGGATATAGGTACTGGAATGTATAGCCAAAGAGACATTTAACAAACAGTCTGTTAGTTTTTGTTGCTTATTTCCTGCTAAGGACTGTGGGATTATTAAGTAGGGAAGAAGCATAGAGACCTGTTAGTTTCAAATGAGCAGCTTCAGTGAGCATCTCTGGCAATGCATGAGAAATTAATTTCATTCATTTTAAACCAGGATTTACATACTTTGCACCTTGTGGACTAAACAGACTCACATGCAATATGTGGTTGAAATCAAACATTTCCATGCTTGAAGTATGATTCATGTCCCTCCCCATGGGTTTTATAGCACACATAGATTTGAGGAATGCACTTGAAAAATTGTATGCCTCTGAAAAATGCACATAAAATTGGATACCTTGAAAAATGCTTTGATCAATGAGAAAAGAATGTATATATTCCAAACATGCACACAACTGATGTGCCTATTTGGAAAATGTGCATGAATTTCCATCTGAAATTAAGAAAACAAAGCTCACCATCTGATAAGGACTCAGGTGAGAATGAGTTACAAGATGGAGGGCTTCTGTGAGCTCAGGTTTTGCTGACTGATGCATACCCAAATATGTAAGGATTTGGATGGTTCAGTGCTAGAAGAAGGTTGCATGTAAACGGTGAAATGTATTGTGTCCCCTTCATATTCCCCTTCTCAAGCTCATTTAGTTAGTTCCTGACTCAAGCAAACTGTAGCTGCCCTTATATTTGAACCAGCAAGCTATGGTCTGAAGCCAGTTTGAATGTGAAAGCATTCAAGGTAAGAGGAGGACACATAGACACCGGCCTGGTGGTGGTTGCTCTTCAGCCCCACGGTTTTTGCAGTACCGGTAGGCAGCAGCAAGAGGAATCTTTCTGAGCCCTTGGTGGGTCTCAAGTTACTCAGGCCAAGCTTAAGAAGGCAGCATACACCAAGGTTGTATGTCAGCATACCCCATTCTGGACCTCCTGGATCCCCTGATGGCTGTGCCCCTCCCCCTAGTGAGAATGAGACACCTCAAGCCATGGCCCTCGACTGCAGAAATGCACAGAAGGTGGAGGCAGGTACTGCTTGTTTGATAGCTTCCCAGCTTTTGTGCCATTTGTCCCTGCTTGAAAGGATGAAACACATCCATGAAGGTTTGAGACAAGCATCAAGAGCTCTGCACTGGCATTTGTTGGAATTTTTACCTCTAACCCTTTTGCCTTCAGTTCTCCCCCCACTGGAATGCATTCCGCAAACACTCCTCTAAAATGTCCTTCATCCTTCAGTCTGAAAGTGGTTCCACTCCCCTATTTTAGGCAGTACTTGAACCCCAAGTGCTGAGGAACATCAAATATCTCAGCCTCCTTGGACCCCATCCCTGCAATGTGATGGAGTGGCCAGCTGCCACCCCTGAGTGTGTGAAATCAGCACCAGTCCTGAAGGAAGTTATTTGAATTCCTTTCAGATGCTAAGGCCAACACTTTCTTCCTGTGACAGTAGCTCCAGAAGTACAGGTGGGCACTTCTACTCACCCTTTGTGAATGCCTGTAGCACACGGTCATGATTTGAGGTGTCTCCATCTCACTGTTGCCTTTTTCCTTCTGCCTGGCTTCCCTTCTCAGGCAGCATGGAAGATGGGAGTACTGTTAGAATTAAAAGCTTAACTTTCTGAATATTTCCACTTCACACATCATAGCATAAAATGGTTGTTTTGACTGCTTCACTGGAGAAGGTGAATAAGAGTTTCACAGGGATGGATCAGTCCATCAATGGAGATGGATTGGTTTCATGTGTGTTCCTGAATATGTTTCTTCTGTTCTATATCTATATCAGTCTGTTATTTTTTTAAAGCAAAGATTCACATTTAAATACTATTTTTCACAAAATGCATATCTTGCATGCATTTTAATCTAAAACAGTCATTTAGGTACACTCATCTGAAAATAATAAATTTTATGTGCATGTTATTTTAAAATATGCATTTTGAATTTTGCTTTTAAATCCAAGAGTTATATCACAAAACTCAGGGAAGGGTAAAAATAAGAGGTTATGTTCTAATCCACACTTTAGCCTAGGGAAGTACACATGAAGTTTCAAAAAACAAAATCCTCATCCATCCCTAGTTGCAAAATTCCTATCTAATAGAACTGTTGGTCTCCTATACTTGTTTATTCCTTCCTTAACAGGTGATTGCATGCGAGCAACAGCTGGATAGTTCTTACGATGCCAGATGTGATGCATGGTCTTTGGGTATCACTGCCATAGAGTTAGGTGATGGAGATCCACCTTTGGCTGATTTGCATCCCATGAGAGCTCTGTTCAAAATACCAAGGTACTGCCTCAGTTAATTATCTCCCTTAGTGTAACACAGAACTGGAAGTTGGCAACATGAACTTTAGGCTCCAGATTGTTAAAAGAGCCAAGCAGAATTGAGGACTATTAGATAATGAAGTTAGGTTGAATAGTTGACCAGTAGGCAGAACAGACTGTGATCCTGGGGGGATTAGAAGTAATCTTTTTCTCTAATACTGACAGTGTTAAGGAACCCAAAGAATTGTAAAGTCTACTGCTTTTACAACTGCGAGGAACTTGTCCTGATACATAAATAATGATGAATAGGCCATTAGCCATATCATTTTCTTGGAATGCTGGAAAATTACAGCACTTTTGATTTATTTGGGAGTAATTTTAAAATCCACTTTTTCTTAAGCCTTTGCAACATTAAGACAATCAGTGGTGCATTGTATTTTTCTAAACAATGCTCCTTTTAAACTAGAGGATTTTTTTAAAGGTTCTTCCACATAGTCATTATTCTATTGGAATTCTCTTACTCTTTTTTTGTAAAATACTTTTGAAACAATTGATATTTTATGTATTAACCTTTTTTAATGCTACCTTCTACAGAAACCCACCACCAACACTAAGGCAGCCAGAGATATGGTCATCTGAATTCAATGACTTTATCAGCAAGTGAGTGACAATCAAGCCATTTAAAAATAAATCGATGTGTAAATGTATAGAATGCAGTTAAAACAATGTCACCTTATTTACTCAGAAAGAATCAAACATTCTGATGTTCTGATAAACAGGAGTATTGGTTACATTAACTTATAAAGGATCTGCTGTATGGAAAATATGGAACAAGCTTCAGTTCCTAGAGATTATGAGTGAGACATATTTCTGTAATTTTTAAAAAAGTTAATACACTATCTCTGACCTTTCTTCAGTCATAGAACACAAGGTAGTTTCCCACCGAAATGGAGGCCACACACAGACCTGCCTTGCCTCAGCCGTGTGGCTGTCCCTGGACTCTTCTGTACTATTTCCCATGCACTATGCCCATGTTTTCACTCTGGCTTTGATCCTAATTAGGCTTCTGAAAATAGAAGGGTTTCTTTCATTCCCAGATCAGGCCAAGATTATGGAGGATTGTTCCAGTGGAAGGGAAGGAAGAAACAATGTCCACTTCATGCAGCCCTTCTGTCTCTCCTGGAGGGTCTCCAGACTCTTTGGAGCATATTTTCAGGGTGTGAGGCAGGCAAGAGGCTACACAGGGAAGGGGCAATTAGTGAAGGTCACCTCACTGCCACTAGCAGGAATATCCCATGAGCAGGACTCTGCTGAAGGGCATAGGTGACTGTGGGGGCCATCTCAGGTTTCCAGCCTATATGTGTGAGTACAGAATACCCACTAGAGATGTAACAGTAGGCTCAGCATGAGCAGGGATGAATCCTTGTTTTGCTGGACACAGAAGCTTTGTTCCCCTGAGAATTGGTATATCACACACCTCTTCCTTTGGACTGGGGAACATGGTATGGGTCCACTCCTAAAGACTGCTGCTCTCGTTAGTTCAGTGGATGTATAAAGAAGGGTGAAGGACTGGTAAATTATGTGATTACACTGCCATAGTATTCTTGTTCCAGATCTTCTCATGAAGATGTGTCTTTGTATAGGTGAAAGGACTTTGTATATGACTCACTGGTGATTGCAGTTCATAATTGTATTTCCAAACACTTGTTCTTTTCTGCTAGTCCAGGTGTTTGACAAAAGATTATGAGAAACGCCCCACAGTGTCTGATCTGCTGCAACATGATTTTGTGAAGCAGGTGGAAGGCAAGGAGAGCATTCTGCAGATGCAGCTGATGGAATTCATCGATGTTCATCAGCAAATGGGAGTCACGGAGAAAGCCAGGTACCTTTTTGGTCTTCTGGAAGTAAGATAACTTTTGACTGCCTTTTCATGTTTGCAAATGGGGTCCTTTTAACTAGCTAGTATCTCTCTAAAGCAGACTTCCTCTACCCAGAAATCTTGAGATGTGTTTGATGACACTTGACCTCACCCCAAATTTTCATCTTACGGGGGCTTATGGACTTCCCTACAATGTTCTATCCTTTAAGTGTTAGCGTTAGTTTAATGCTGCAGCCACTCTTCAGCATGAAATAGCTGGCAAAAACAGCCCCTTATTTTGCATGTGACAGAAAACACCAGCACCTGACTTGAATAGGAGGGTATTTTCAGTTTCGTTCCAAGGGTATTTAGCGATCTAATCTATGCCTCACAAAGCACTCTGTGGCATGTAGTCTTTATAAGAAATTACTGAGTGATTTGGCTCAGTGTCAAGTTTTCTGGAGCTACTTCATCAAAGTAATGTACTGAATCTGAAATTTAGCTGTTGATGGCTATTGATGTATTTCTATTTGCTTCTACTTCAAGGTAAGGCATAATAGATTTGTTTTTTAAAAATGGAACATAGAATATAAAAGGATTTTAATATACTTTCAGTTGTTACTGTCACGTATTCTTATCAAATGAACTACACAGAGAAGTCTTGTTAAAATCAGCCACAGTTCTTTTTATTGATGTCTATGAAAGTTTAATGCTTTGTTTGGTTTCTTTGCAGTCTTCTGGTGAGATATAGGGATTTATTTTGCCCTTTTTCAAGCCTGACATAAAGATACCTTGCTTAGAAATGAAAATAGCACTGTTCCAGCATTTTAAAAGAGCTCTATGCCACCCTTAAAGACCAGAGTAGGGCTCAAATTTGTAGGAATACATGGTCCAAAGCACTGCACTTATGAGAGGGTCTGAAGCTCACAGCCAGGAAGTCACACTAGATGCATGAGTAGCTGTAAGCAATAAATCCAAATGCCTTTCCAAATGAGTGCCATATTACTGCATGTTTGTTATAGGAAATTACGATACCTGCCTTTTCTCAAGAGTGCATGGGCATCTTATCTTCCCAGCACACCATCACTGATAAAATGGCTTCTCTCCTTTACCCAGTTAGTGATCGTGAGCCTGAATGGCATAGAAATGTTTAAGCATAGATAAGACCTGTTAGATTTTAACTGTGGGGACTAGAAGACTCATCTTCCCTTCTGAACCTCAATACATGAAGCTTCCTTGTACAGATGCAGGCTGTTGGCTCAGTACAGTCCATCTAATGCTGTCCTCCAGGCTCTCAGATAGCTTTTCTGGAACTACCTACAGAATCCAGTGTCTGAATTAGGAGCTTCGGCCTACAAATCATAGGCTCCACCACAGGGCCCTTTTCCAAGGCACGGCCTGCTCAGTAAAGCTGGAAGTGGCAACCTTCTGTGCCACTAGCAATAATTCTGACCGTCTAGCCAAAGAACTAGATATGCAGCAGTAGATCTTCCTTCCTTTCGGGTACTTTTACATAGGTGTGCATGTCAAAGAATTAAGAGACTAAATGTCCTTCTCCTGCAACCACTTCAGATCAAGTAAGTAGACAACTACCCTTCAGAAATGTAAAAGTGGTAAGTCTGCTAGTCCCTAAACAAACACATTCCTTGTCGTGGATCAGGAATCCCAACCCTCATCTTTCCAGAGTGAATAGTTCAGGGAAAATTATCTGCTGTGTAAAGGTGTCAACTCCCTGGGACTATTTCTTTAGAAGGACTCTAGGGACTGGCTTCCTTACTTCCGTGGGAAGTTGCATGACCATCCTCAGGTTCCTAGGACTTGGAGCGCAAGAAAACTAGCACGTCACAATTATTTCCATACTGTCAGAATATGAGATTTCAAAAACAGACCCCCCCACCCATTTAGAGGCAAAACTTCACTCAATATGGAGGAGAAGCCACCAACCAAATGCATCCACATCCTTATTTAAGACTAAGCCTTGAACTGCTCCTTGTCAGGAGCAACATACAGATAAGCTGGCCTAGCTTCCACCTGGAGCTTTCCATGAAGCTGACCTATTTCTGTCAGGCTGTTCAAGACTGGGCTGTAGCAGAACCTTGCAACCCAGTCTGTGGTGCAAGGCATCAACAGAGTCCACATACTAAAATGTCCTATATCACTACTTGGGCAGGTGCCAGGGCCCATTGCTTATGGTGATGCCTGCTAGGGCCTCCATGCTGGGTGCTGACAAGGCCACCAAATGCAGCACTTTAGAAGATACGTTGTTCTGTAGAATTGTGGGTCAAAAAACTGACAGTCAACATGGTTTTTATGACAGCTGGCCAGATAGTTCATGAAAATTCCAAGGCATTGCATTTGGGGAAATATAAGGTGTGGCTACAGCTTTGGCCACTAGGGATCTATCAGGCCCACCCTGCCAAGGCCACCCTCCATCCTGGAGTTGGCAGTTAACACATAACTGATGGCCCTCTTGCTGCACCTCTTTAGTATTTGAATGCCCAGATCCTGTCGCTTGAAAATAATAATAAAATAAGAGACGGAGCCATGAACAGGAAGCATAACCTTTGCATACATACTTACATACATACACACGCATATATTGTTCTGGTAGGCCCAGAATATGGCCTTTGAATACTAAAGCCATAAGGGTCTGAAAACTTGTATTTTCTCCCCTGTGATTCTGAGGATGTCCACTTCCTGCTGTCCAATATCCAAGTTAGCACTCTGGGGTAGAACTCTCTTCAGGTTAGGCTGACCTCAGCGAGACTGACCTATGTCTGCTCCCCAATTGGTAATACCTAGAGTGGTCCCATCACATCTGAATGCAATAGGGCTTCATGTTATGCCTCCCCTAGTATTTGAGGCCATCCTCCTCTGTAGGAGATCCCTGAATTACCTTCACATCACTGTTCTGATAATGCCTACCATAATGAGCCCAGCCTTTTGGCACTCTCAGGGCATCGCAGGAGGCTACTGTCTGCTTGCCAACATTCTTTCTCCTCCACTTCCCTCACAGCTCACCCAGATAAAACAGTTTTGCCTGTCCTAACATGCTCCAGTGCATAGCAATTAGATGACTCAAAGTGACACTCAAGCAGAGAGGTCATCCTATCAAGCATTATCTGGCAAGATCAGCTTGTCTTCTGTTGCCTCGTCTGTCCATTTATGTTTGCCAATCCAGGAAGAATTGTAGTGATGCTTGCGGTTTTTGTAGCTGATCCAATTAAGTCTTACAACAAATACTTTTCACACACAGAGACCAGCCCTACAGGCATTTGGACAGAATTTACAGGACAACCTTTAGCAGCAATAAAAGGTATAGAAAGCATGTCACTGAAGGTTGTCTTAAAGAAGCTGATAGGTCTGGACAAAAGATATTTTGAGAGACAAGTAGGTGATTTTCTATCCTTTTAGTGATCCAGGACATTGCAGATAACCTGCTTTACCATGGTTAGAGTTATCCTTCGCTGTTGCTTTAATCTATCTTAAGAACTTACAAGTACAGTGAAACTATGATTGTATGCCCAACAGGGCTTCAGAGGGAGACCCTTCCAAGGAGTGTTTGTCATCTTGCAACCAAAGATCCTGAAGAGGCAAAAAAACTCTCTCTGTCATGGGGCTTTTTAGTATAGATTTCAGGGGAATTCAAGCCAGAGCTTTCCCTAGAAGCAAAAATGACAAAACTGAGACTGTCATACTTTGGACACATCATGAGAAGGCACTCTAGCAGCAGAATCTCCAAACCTGCCTGGGCTTTCCAGGTTGTAGCCACTAACTGACTAACACAGGGGTGGGTACTCTGCAGCTCTCCAGTTATTGTTGAGCTCCCAACTCCTGTCATTACAACAGTGGTTTGTGATCATTCAAGTTGGAGTCCAACAACTTCTGATGTGCCACAGGTTGCCTGCACCCCGGACAAAAGAAAGACTCCTGCCCCTTTACCTTCTGGTGCAGCATACATTCATTTGAGGAGAAAGAAATGTGGTTTATGGACTCCAGCTAACCTTACAGAGCAATAGACAATGGCAGCTAGTTGTCCTGGGGATCAATAATACAACTGTACTTTGCACTATTATTAACTAAAACCAGTGACACAAAATGTCAGATCTGGGTGGCAGGCAGTAATAGGGGTAGTAATAAAGACTACTTCCATCCAGTAATAAAGATGCTCAGACCATTTGACATCAACCTGCCTCTCCTTATTTATTTAGCTAATTTATGAATAAGTACTTCTGAGCAACTTTTCCAAGCTATGAGTTCACAAAGTGACATAACTCTCAAGAAATGATGCCTATACAATAGATGTGTAGGCACACCTGAAAGCTGTGTGGGTTGTTAAAGAAGTGCTGTAATAAAAGGCAGATGCAAAGAGAGATGCCATCAAAGCTTGCTTTGCAGCTTGTGTTGATGAAGATGTAAGACCTCCTCTCCAGTGATGTTGTGGTCGCGAAGTTGTGTCTGACCCATCGCAACCCCATGGACAACATTCCTCCAGGCCTTCCTGTCCTCCACCATCCCCCGGAGTCCACTTAAGCTCACGCCGACTGCTTCAGTGACTCCATCCAGCCACCTCATTCTCTGCCGTCCCCTTCTTCTTTTGCCTTCAATTGTTCCCAGCATTAGGCTCTTCTCCAGGGAGCCCTTCCTTCTCATTAGGTGGCCAAAGTATTTGAGTTCCACCTTCAGTATCTGGCCTTCTAAAGAGCAGTCAGGGTTGATCTCCTCTAGGACTGACCGGTTTGATCGCCTTGCAGTCCAGTGGTAACAGCCTTTAATAAGGGGAAGTCATCAAAGGGTCATGGGATTGCCTTGAATTCAGGCAGCACTATGACATGTGAACAGAGACGAAATGAGGAGCAGGTTCTTGGAAACCATTGGTTTTGGCTTGGCCATCTCAGCCAAGGCACAAGAAGGGAAAAATTAGAATGCAGAAAGAGTCCTGGCTGTGTTGTACCATCATTGGATATAGAGGTTGCTGGGAAACAGATGGAAAGTCTGAAGAAGCAGCTGAGGAAGAGGGAGAG